CATCCATCCATCCATCCATCCATCCATCCATCCATCCATCCATCCATCCATCCATCCATCCATCCATCCATTATCTGACACGCTTGTCCCAATTAGGGTCGCGAGGGGTGCTGGTGCCTATCTCCAGCTGTCTACGGGCGAGAGGCGGGGTTCACCCGTGACAGATCGCCAGGGCAACACAGAGACAAACAGGACATACAACCATTCATGCACACACTCACACCTAAGGAGAATCTAGAGAAGCAAATTAACCTAACAGTCATGTTTTTGGACAGTGGGAGGAAACCGGAGTACCCGGAGAGAACCCACGCATGCTCAGGGAGAAAATGCAAACTCCATGCAGAAAGAACCCGGGCAGGGAATCAAACTCAGAACCTTTTTGCTGGAAGGCAGCAGTGCTACCCACTGCTCCACTAAGCAGCTAAATCTATTCTTTTTTAGTTTTATTCTTTTCTTTTTGTGCTAACTTTATGGTATGTAGTGTGTAATCTATTGAAAACAAACAACTAAAATGCAGATAAATATGGTTTAATCATATGCTGCCCGACTACTCTGAGCATGTCCGATGATGACGTCAGATGAGCTGTTTAATGGAGAAAATGTAAAAAGCATGAAATTGTCTCAGAAAAGAGTATTTTTAGAGATGCAGTGTAGCAGAGTCTGATGTGTGGTTTTTAGACGTACAGTGTGGATAGTTAGATCGCATCAGAGCTTCGGCCGTACGGTGTAAGAGCATAATTTGTGAGCTGTGAACTTTTAAATCTTGCAATATCTTCGTACAGTTTGAGCTGTAGCTGAGTACAATGACTGAAAATATCGTACAGTGTATGGCCGGCAGTAAGCATTAACAAAATTTGGTAATTAAGCAATATCTGCTCCAAAAAACCAGAGAACAGAGATATTCTCTATCAAATACCTTGGACAGTTCTCAGCTTTTACTATGTTGACATATTCACTCATAATCCAGTTCAATATAAGCGTATCAAAGCCTGATTTATCGTTTGGAGACAACAGACATAAACCTTACTTCATTGAGCTAACTTTAGTTACATTTTTGTTTTAAGATTAAACAAATATGCTTGACCAGTTCAAACATTTTAATTTTCTGTTATTTAAAAAACTTTAAATGTATACTTTATAGTGGAAAGGCAACATTCTGGGATGGTTTTCCCATCTGTTTGAAAACTAGAAAAAAAGAGGAAAAAAATCTTGATCCAAGTTGCTGATTTCTAAATACAATTTTAGGTGCATTGGAGAGGGTAGCATATGGCAAATCAATTAGACAACTAATTCTTAAAACAAAAACATGGCAAAAGCATTTGCTAATCAACAACAGTGTTTGGGCTCACATTATGTCGGCCACTGGAGTTTTGAAAACAATTAATCCTCATTCCAGGCAAGGAGAGCCATATTGACACATACTCCTAATTTGAATATTCAATTATGGCGAAGTTCCTCATCAAATTATGGCAAAAACTGGGAACAAGGCCTAAAATATTCACGCAATTACAGCATTGATCAAAAGTATTATGTTCCCATGAAATCTGCTCAGGTTAAAATCAAATTAGCGTAGTAAAAGCAACCTGCAACACAAAGGATTACTTTGAAGACGTGAACTCTAATTTATATAGATCTGCTTTGCATCTGGCACGGGATAAAGAAAGGAGTTATATATGTAAAAAGATAAAGCAAGGAGGAAAAGAAAGAGAGAGAAAGACCGTAGGGAAAGACAAGCAGTGTGCAGAGAGGAGGTAAGAATGGGAGTAATATCACAGAGCGAGGAGCCAGAGCTGCATAACAGAGAGCTGGAAGCTCTTGTTTTGACACACATCCAGTCTTTCCTGTGACAACATCTCCACACCTTCCCCAGTGTGCCAGCAGTGTTGCTTTGTGGGAGCTGCTTTCTCACCCATCATTATCCTCCTTTAAGCTCAGTGTCAGCTGCTGAAGAGAGGATCCCTCTGAATTTTGGAGGCCTCCATCTGATCTCACCTGATCATTTAATCATCCCTGGCATTCCTTTGCTTGATCTCTGCTACTTTTTGCAACTTTCTTGAGCACAAAGTAATGAGTGAGATTGAGTCGGACAGGATTGTTCCTCAGCACTTCAGACAGAAGATCTGTCTTGTGACACGGTGACAGTCACAGTGTCTCTCTCTCTCTCTCTTTTGTGCTGGGAAGTCTTGGTTAACCAGCGTGCAATGAAAGCTGATACAATACTCCAGCAGAGGCCCGCCAACGTGTGGAGCGTGACAGGTAGAAGACTGCAATTCTAAAAGTATTGATATGAATGCCAATTCTGACAGTGATGACACTCTATATACTTCACCTGAAAAAGCCAGCTGCGTAAAGAGCGAGAGAGAGAGAGAGAGACAGACAGAGAGAGAAAGAGAGAAAATAAAGGAAAAAAAAAACCTGGCCTTGACATTTTTATCACCGTACAGTTTGATTTAAAAAGTGCCCGTGTGTACAATAGCCTATTATTCTAAGAGAAATGTCAAAAACCTTGATTCTGAGTGAAGTGAAAGAAATTGCAATATTAGGACAAGGCTAATTTATGCCAGCAGTCAGTGTAGAGGTCAGATATCAGCCTCAGCAATGACAGTTTTATCAGGAGAACAAATGGCAGGGCCGGTCAGGAGGAAGAAGGAGGGAGATACTTTACAGGATACATTAAAACGCTGACCGGATGGCGCAGCGTCTTTACATTATAGAGTCAGGGAGTGGCCGATACGCCGTGTCTTGACAGAGAACAAGCTAAAGTGGTTGACATCGAGCTTCGGCAATGAATCAAAACAGATGCGGTGACTGTTTGAAATGAGGTATGCAAAATTGATAAAGAGACTTTAACATAAGGTCTAAACACAGCTTCCCAGGCCTCCACCCTAAGGCCAGCTTCATATCAGCGGTTTGGTGTGTGGAAAATGTCAGGATTTTAATATAGGCTCCTATGTAAACATGTAGGGGCTAGTAGACATAAGCAGCATGACAGGTCCACCTCAGCTGGAACCAGGCTGCAGCAATGGTATGTGCAGTTTTAATATGAAGCCTTAGGTAAGTGTCAAGCAGCAGTTTGTGGTAAATCAAAAAAAGAAGCCAAAATGTTTCATAGTTTTTGGTTTTCAAGCTTTAAGGCAGCGGTCCCCAACCTTTTTTTCACCACGGACCGCTATGTCAGACAATATTTTCACCGAAATAATAAAACAACAAGCCGGTCCCATCTAGGCGTAATCGGAGACAATGACACATGAAGTGCGCTCCTGATGTCCAGTATGTTCCTTTGTTTTGGTCGCTGTAACCGCAGAAAATCCCACTTCACAAAGATAGGATGTTATAGATAGGATGAGTCTTGACCTGAATTATCCTGTGTCAAGAGGCACAGATGCACCGACTGATGTAATTGGGGAGAATACCGCAATTTTTTTTTTTTTTCAAAATAAAACATTACTCAGTCTGATCGTCGATAAATTATATATATATATATATATTTTTTTTCTTTTTTTTTTTTCTGTGCGGCCCGGTACCAAATGACCCACGGACCGGTACCGGTCCGCGGCCCGGTGGTTGAGGACCGCTGCTTTAAGGCACATACGCGGCACCAAAACAGTTTAATCCCCTTAAAAAGTGTTAATTTATTTTTTATTTGACAAATTAAAACATTGTGTATACAAAAAAAAACACTGTAGGAAGAAAATGTATTTGTATCTTAACAGATACATCATTAGTGACCAAAGAAAAGTCAAATAATCAGAATATAAATGATCAACTGTATCTGCAGAAATGCAGCAACAACAACACTAGAGTTGTAAAGCAGAACACAAGCCATGACAGAGCAGACAAACTGCTGATGAAGGCCATGTAGCTGATGTCAAGCTAAATTAGGATAAGAGTTTAGTCTCAGTTTAATGCAACTCTTCACTTATATCTATATAAAAATTTGGATTATTAAACTCATCATTGCAAGCAATGTTATGATAACAACAGTCATTGCCATGATCATTTCAGACTTTAGCTTAACCCTAAGTCATATACTGTAAAAGTATATGTCTAAAAAGTATTTTTATTTAGTTCATTTTGACCTTTTTATTAGATACATTGCAATAGACAAACACAAAGCAGGGCATAGCTGCAAAGTTGGAAGAACATTCTTCAAGTTTTCAAAGGTTCCTAAAAGATACTTTAAAAATGTAGAATACGTCTACAATCACTCTGTATGAGTCAATACTTTCTATAGCGGCATCTAAAGCCGAGCATTTTGGTCATTCTTTTATTGTTAATAACCCTCGAGCTCAGACACACTGGATACATTTCGGTTGACATCAATATCTAAGGGTCCATCGGAATTTATCAAATCCCTAAGGACTCTTAAGCCAAAGTCAAGTGCATCAGCCGCCCCCATGATAAGGGCTGTCCGAATACTTCTAGCAGAAAGGAAGGAAGTAGGAAAAGGGAACACTTCATTTTGAATTGGAACCTCCTGACATTCCTATCTTCTGCTTAGGGCCTATTAGGATTTCCATAGTCCAATGCATGACAGAACATATTGGCACAGCCCACCTCATGAATAAAAATACAACAGTGCTACACTGGTACTCTGTGTCACACATGCTAATGGAATGCATTAGCCGTTTCATTACTTTTCAAATTGGGATTAAAGCCTTGCAAAGAAAAAACAAAAACAAAAAAGGAAGGTTACACAAATTTAGCAAAGTAATGGAGTCCATAAGGATGAGGCTGTTCAGATTCAGCATGCTAGTCCTTTCCTACCTACCATACACTGCTAACTGTTGACTCTGTAAAAGGTGAAGGACCAGGAACTGCAAACAGAAGTTAGGAGTTACAACTTGGAATATTCAAACTGAGAGAAACTATTTTGCCACAGAATGTACATATTTACTTTGACTGGTCATTTTAACAGATGAAAATGCTTTGATCTACAGTAAGCCATTCTAATTTAGATCTGTATGTTTAAGGTCTTTAAAACTCAACTCATGTCTGGAGTTATGCAGATTGCACAAGGTTCCTTCCAATGACAACAAATGTATATCTAGTTGCCTCCATCTTCCAATCAACACTGACAGCTTTCCAATCTCTGCTCAAGGAAAGACTCCCCACATCATGAAGCTGCCCCCACCATGGGCAGATAAAGTGACCACAGTGCCTTGTTCTACCCATATAATGGTGTTTGCAACAAACTTGAGCAAATTAAACCAATTGCCATCTATAAATATTTGTCAAGTAACCATGAAAAACAATCATTAGTTAGAATTCCATATTTTATGTTTAGGTTTTCGATTTTTCCAAAGACAAGTGTGATGAGCTGATAGAGCATAAATTAGAGCTAATGCTGCTGACTGAAAGTTTATATCACCCAAAAAATATGACAGACTGATTATCCATGCGGGTTTAAAGGGATCTTCAGAATAAATGATGATGACAAAACAAAAAAGATTAAAAGTGAACACTATCGAGAAAAGAGAAAAAAATAGCATATTTTCAATCTGCAAAAAAACTGAAGGAAACTTTTTATCATCTGATGACCCATCCTCCCTCCTGCAAACAATAACAAACGATTTGAATGAAACGTATTTCCCTTGATGCAACAACCTTGTGCGTCCCATAATGATGCAACATGCTGCAGCTACTCAGTGCTTAGAGATGGGGGTGGGGGGGGATTTGTGTTTTCTGTTTGTACACAACATGAACTTGCTCCTTCTGCCTGAGGCATGTGAGATTCGAAGAGGGGGATCGGTATGCTTTCAAAATTATAAGGCTCATTAAAAATTTACACATTATTGACTGTATTTAAAACATCCTTTCCAGCGACTGTAAAAAGCACTTAAATTTAAGAGGTGCTATTCCCCAAAAGCCATAAAGTTGCTGCAGATAGCCTGAAGAAGGGACGGAGTGGAGACTTTTCTTCTTTTGAAAATGTGCAAAAGCACAGCTGTGTTGAGAAAATGGTAAGAAGATGAGAAGTAAGTTATAAATGGCTGTGTCAAGCTGTTGAATATAGCTATTTATGGTTATGTGTATGGCTGTCTGAAGTGCATGTAACTACACCGAAATGAATAGTCAAAAAGATGCCGTGGTATGAATCGCCCACAGTCCCGTCCTTATTTGTCAGTGTTTTACGGATGGAAAAAAAAAACTTTCAAAAGAAGACTCTCTGTCTGTGAAATGAATTTTAATGTTAATACCAAAACGGCAGCCTGTGATCTCAGCAGGCATCAGGAAGTGGAGGGGGTGGGAGTGATTCGCTTCGAGGTGCAATTTATTCAAACCTCTGAGCCTCACAAACTTGAAAGTGGGCTTCAAAAGAGTTTAGGATTACCGGGAAGAGTCGTGAAGGGGCGTGTTTTTCTGAGCTCCCACCGTAACTTCACCGCATCAAACATTATCGATCATCGACTTCCAAATTGTGGTGGAATCACCCCAAAAAAAAGTTTCAGCTTTCCATTTTAAAACTGCCCGTTTATTGTTCTCAAATCGCAGCAGGAGCATGCAGGCAGGAGCTCTGTTTTGAATTTGCCTCCTGGCTCTAAATGTGGTGCTGCTTTTAAACGGCTTCTTCTCAGCCCGGCACAGGATGGCGGCGCACAGCGCTTCCAGTTTGGCAAAGACCTCGCAGCCTCGTGCCAAGCTCCGCTCTCTCCAAAGCAACACCACAGCAAAGGAGTCTAAATTGTTTATTTACAATTTGCAGTGGAAATCCCCAGCTCTTGCCTGGGATAAATAATTGAGCTGTTTGATCTGGACACAGTACAAAGGTTTGCTCTGTTCACTTGAGGCCTGAGGCAGAGGAAGCCATAAGCACGTACTCCACATGGCGGAGATCTCAGAGCTCTCCTCCCTTCCTCTGCAGCTGTCACTAACTCTCGGGGCCACATCTCCTCCTCTGCCTGCACGTACAGCCCTCCTGTCACCGTGTCAGAGGAGCGGCCTGCCTCTGCCTCCTGGGACACCCCACAAATAGCACAAGTTTAGCCCCCATTGAACTCCTGTTGTTGTTTCAGGGGATCCTGTCTAGTTAGAAATGTCTTGCCGGTTCACCCTCGCTGCCTTGTAGTCCAGACACAACCCTCAGAGGCAGATTGCCCAGTAGTGATCAATTGCTTGTGTCCTCATTGCCGTACATATGGTAGAGAGGCGGAACAAGGGCTCAGCAGTACAGAAGATGCAAAGCGAGAAAAAAAAGGAAAAGAGAGGTAGAGAGGTTGAGCAACAAGTTGGAGCACCATTGGGTGATGGTACCTTGTAGTGCTGTGTGGGGTGTCAATTTTAGGAGCACTCTTCGTTTTCTGAGATGACGTACGCCGAGGAACGTCCCCCATGCGATACCATAGTCCCATATTGTTTATGTCTCTGTGAAAATATGAAGATGAGGAAGAGTTGTTTGCTCAAAAGTTAACAAGGTTAATCAGATTTTTTGCAAATATGGAAAAATAAAAAGCTAGAAAACTGTGTGGCTGATTTCATTCATTTCCACTGACTTGTAGCTTACCCCACACAGGTGTAGTTAACAAGCTGGTACTTGGATTTGGCGGTGAGCTGGATGTCACATACAGCTGTCTCGGCAGCCTCACGAGCGCTCATTTTCACACACAGCCTCCTCTTCCTCATGGCAGCTTCCTCTGATGAGTAAAGCCATCGTACATGTGAGCGTGTTAGGAAGGAACTAGCGTATATTCACTTCTGTGTCTTCTGAGCTGGAAAATGGGAATAAAAAAATCCAATAGACGCCTTCAGGGAAGGGAGATAATATTAAAAACAAGCAAAGTATAAAACTTAATGAAAGATTACACAAGATACATTTTATTTTCCTCTCTTTAAAGCTGAGATCCCTCTCCACTGTCAGTCAGTGACACATAATGTAAATATCTACCTTCCCCACATCCTGGATAAATGAATCCTGCAGTCAATGTCTGGATGCAAACAGCAGATTTTAGATACTGTAGGTAAAAATCTTTTAAACATTCAACTGTAGGATCTGATTAAACTCTCTGGAAAGTGCCTTAAGCCAGGGGTCTTCAACGTTTTCGAGGCCAAGGACCCCCAAACTGATTGCGAGATTAAGCGGGGACCCCCTAATTATATATATGGTATGAAATAGTGTTCTATCAAACTGGTCCTATAGTCACTCTATTACATATGGAGTCATGTAACGAAAGTAAATTCTTCCTGGGATTATTAAAGTATTTCTGATTCTGACTCCTCATTGATGGGACAGGTGTTGTGAATGAAACGGTGCCCAGATTGAAAGAGCTCCTGTGTGTCGCTGAATGTGTGCATTGATGACTGAAAGACATCTTCTGCCTTCTGTTTACTACAGTGTGTTGAATTCATGTTAATGTGGATTTAAAGACATTTTAATTAGTGCAAAAAATTGCAGGAGGGAATATAAAAAAAAGTAATCAACCAAGACTTTCGCGACCCCCATGCAGTACCTCCGCGGACCCCCTAGGGGTCGCGGACCCCCTGTTGAAGACATCTGCCTTAAGCTGATGTATGTTGTGGATAGGTAGATAAACAAATTTGAATTGAATTGAAATTGAATTGAAAACAGCTCTGTTATGTTCCGATTATTAATTGGATTCAAGTCGGAACTTAGAATGGATCATAATAACACATTGACATATGTTTTGATCTTAACCCTCCAGTGTATATACAACAGTTTTACTTTGATAATGTTGTGTCCTGGAAGATGCAATAAAATTAAGTTTTTTTCTGTTTTGACCAAAGTACCTGCTACATGCAACTAGGTCTGCTGCAAGTAGGGTTTCTTATAGTTTCCCTTTAACAATGTCTTTCCTCTTCCTACCAGGCTCGGACTGGTAATCTGTGATACCGGGCATTTGCCCGGTGGGACGGTCCTAATTTCTGCGTGCGAGGGCCGGCACTCCTTAAATCATACCGGTCCTTACACTTACTCTCAGTCCGAAGGACCTATCTGTGACAGTAAATAACTCTATGAGCTCAAGAAGTAAAGCAATGTTAACCACCTAATTGATGCATGCAGTATATATATAGGCCTTCCTTGTCATGCACATCCTTGAGACGATTGGCATATGGTGTAATTTATTATTTCTTCAAACTGTAAAATCCTTGCAACAAACTAAATCATAAGAAAACTAAAATGCGTTCTTTAAACCAAACTACGATGTTTCTCTTATATTTGGCAAATTTATGTTAGAATATTTTGCAAAAATATGTTGCTGTGCATGGTGGGGTTTTGCATCTAAAGGCTAGCATTTCCCGTCTTAAGTGCATTGTTGCCAGATAGGGACGTTTCCCAATCTGACAGTTTAGGATGACCGTCTATGAGTAAAAAAATGTTTTCTTTAGATTTATGGCCTAAGAGATCAATAGACTTTGCTTCAAATTGGAAGATTGTGTATATCCCGGCGGTTTATGAAACTGTTTTGGGCCGTAAAACGTGAGTCAGTGACATCTGGCAACCCTGCCATGATGTTTACATTATTCCGTTTCATTGCCCACATGCCACCTAGACTCGCAGTGAATTCTTACGAACCGCTGAGCTCTCATGTATTCATTCTGAGGCTGTCTGCTTCTATCTTGTATTGTTTTATGTTGGTGTTTTTAGAAAACTCGGGCTTAAGTTAGACCTAGCATGTGTGAGTGGTTATCTGGCTGGCTTTGTGCAAGTGTGGATGTTATGCAGTAGAAGTCTCTGTCGCGTCCGTGTTAATAACCAAAGCCAGTAAAACTGCATTATAGAAGTCTTGGTGATGGTTGCCATGTGATGCTTGAAGATAGATCGGTTAATCTTGCGGGGGTCCATAAATGGGCTGGTGTAGATGAAAAAAATGCCAGGGCCGAAAATCGTTCCCAGTCCGTGGATGCTACCACCTTAGCTGTGGATTTCTGCAACTCTTTCAGGGCTGCCACTGAGCTGTGGTAACTTCTTTAATTCGTATTGTGTAATTTCAGATGGACAGCAATGTCTTTGGGTACTTAATTAAATATCAAATGTTCAAAGCAGTTTTTTTAACCCTGCATTTCATTTTAAAACTTCAACCTTTAAATGTGAACCGGGTCTGAGTTTTTTGGCCTTTATTGTGCTTTAACTGTTAATGTTTCAAAATAAAGAGATTTAATATCCTTACATATAAAGATTTATTTAGGAATTTTATTAAACAAGAGGAAGTGAAACTCCTAAAATTAGTAAGCTTTATTATAAAATGAAATTGCACACAGATGCAGTCTATTTACTACCTTGGATCAAAGTTATGCACAACTTTGGCTTTGTCACATAAAACCTCAACAAGATAAAGGCAGGTCTGTGGTCGTAACATGTAAATGTGAAAATGAATACCTTTGCAAGCCTCTGCATATTTATAAAAGTTCTCGTTATGCTTAGCTTAGAAATAGAAAATTGGCTTATCTATGTTTCTGCCTGACTTGCTGTGCTCAGGGGAAATTGACTGGACACAGGGAAGCTGCAAAATGTGCTTGCATTATTATCATTTTTATCATTTTTATCATTTCTGGAGGTAGAATGACAAATGCAAGTGAATCCTCCATCAGCTTTAATGCACGACAGGGATTTAAACTCGGCGTTCTGGATAGAAATTCATACATAATGCCACATGTATACATTAAACATTCACATAAAGTAATAAAACATTAAATTACAACACATCCAAAGAAAACATAATCTTTTTTCCCTATTCTCCTAAAAACAAAAAAAAAGTACAGCTGTGCTTTCCTATATTGCATTTGTGCCTTGCTCATTTATTTCCCCAGCAACACAAGGAAGTGGTTTGTAAATGCAACGATAATAAAAATAATAAACAAGCTGTCCTCACTCCACACACCAAAATATTATTACATTTTCAAGGCATGGATGAGGTGGTGGGGGGTGAATACGTAGCACTCAAAATCCACTAAAGCATTGGGGAATGCATTTCATTAATATTAGATAACCCCCATCTACTCGTCCTCTCCCCAAATAAATACATAAATAAATAAGCCCCTCATAAAGAGAAGCCCAGCTCCAGCTGAGATAAACAATGACTCATGATTCTCCTCTCTTGTACCTCTAGGGCAAAATGTTTATTTTATTCTCACAGTCTGCCATAAATTAAGCTAACCTGCACCCATAAAACATTTACTATCTCAAGCAAAGTTGCCCCTAAGGACCCCCCGCATAAGCTGGTTGGAGAGGGCGAAAAAAAAAAAAAAACATGAGGAGAGGAGCATGCCTGTGGTTAGTATTGACTTTATTTACTTTTGTCTAATGTTTCTTGCACCGGTGTGAAGGACTCTGGCAGCGGGTCCTTGAAGTCGATCAGCTTCATATCCACAACGACCTCAGGCTCCTACAAACGAAAAGAAGGCAGTACAACCAACAAAAAACAAACATTTGCACTCATGAAAATTCCCTTTTCAAAAGGGATATTGATCGAGTCAATGAGTCGGAAAGAGATAAGAAAATTTACATAAAAACTGGGTTACTGAAAAATTAAAACATAATTAAGTTCCTAGAGAGAATGGCTCACAGAATAGCCAATAATTACTCAGTTTTTCTTGGTCTGAGAGGAGCATCTGTGAACTTCCAATCATTTTCAACCTTTCAGGGATATAAGTTGTGCAATGATGGGAGACAGAGTAAGCGGTCTGATCAACAGAATTGGACTAGTTAAAAATAATCAGGGACTGTGTAGTTGACATTTTCAAGCATGACTCTTCCCTGCCTCCCATTACATTTTTTTTGCCATAATAAATTGCAATAATACACAGCGGCAGCAAGGAGTGGAGCGAGCCAGGCGTGACTTGATGCGTCCAAAATGCCTGGATTACACTCTCACTGCTGCTCGACTGTCATTACCATTAGAGGCATTTTTATTCATAGTTTTTACACTGACATAAGGAGGAATATGGATGAATGTTATTATAATGCATGAAGCTTTTTTTTTTTATTGTTTTCCCCTCTTTTTTCCAGAGATATTTTTTCCCATCACAACCTGACAAAAGAAGGCTATCTACCTTCAACCTAGAGTATGATAAATCACAAACTATTTACCTCCCCCTCCGAATAATTCAGGGGCTAATTTTACAGAATCTGTTTTTGTCATAGACAATTACAGTGGGAGTTCCAATGACTGGCAGACAAAATAGCTTTTGTTGATGGTTCTGTCATGTTTTATTTGCGTCAAAGTCTTTAAAACAATGTGGACGGACATTTTAAGATAATACGCAGGAACTCGGGAAAGGCCATTTGCATGCTATATACTAAACTGGGGGCCAAATTGTGCTCAGCCTGCCAGGTCGCCTGGCTTTTAGAGGACATACAGAAAAAAATATGACTTGATTAAGTCCTAAAATTGAGCTGATGCAAAGTAATAACAAAAATTCAGCTTTTGTTTACAATCCTGTCTGCATTATCCACCTGCAAGCCAGGAAAACTTAATTAGTAGACAGCCAATGGTATGAGCTAGGGTTAGACAGGCTGGTGGCTATGGCGCAGTAAGCAGGTGTATTTATGGTCACAGAGCAGCTGACAGCCAAGCAGAAACACATCAACTCTTGACTGCAGGCAAGCGAAGGGTCTAAAAATGACCCAACTGCATTATGTGGAAATGTAATGTAAAGATTATTTTAGACACAGAGGAGTCATGGCTGCTGAAATTGGGAATTCTATATATGGTCTTTACAACACTGAAATTGCTTTTTTCCAGTAGAATCTCACACTCTAAAAAATACTAAAATAATAATAATAATATTCCCATTTAAGTTATAAGGTTGTCTTCAAAGTAAAGCAATCCAAAATAACAGATATTATATGTCAGAATTATAGTTTATTAAGAAAGGGAAACATATTACTCTGCAAAAACTTTTAATCAAAATAAGTCATTTTTTTCTTTTCAATAAGTGAATTTTGTTCTTGAATTGAGGAGGGGAGACACTTTGCCAATGGAATAAGACAATTTACATTTAAAATAAGACTATTGCCTTGTCTTATTTAAAGTGCATATTATCTAACTATAATTTTAAGAGTAAAAATACTCATTCCATTGGCAAATTATCTTATAAACCTACCCAAATTAATGGTAAATATACTTAATTACTTTAAGTAATTTCCCTCTGGGATTATTAAAGTATTTCTGATTCTGATTCTGATCATTTAAGACATATTTGCTAATTTCTAGATTGTTTTTGCAGCGCAGTTACTACCCACCTCTGGATTTTACAACTGACCAAAGACCAAAATTACTGGCCTTAAGAAACATATTAGGATATAATGCTAAATAAAATAAAATAGCTCTTTTTTGGTCAAGGAACAGCAGACAGCTTGGCAGATAACCTTCAAAAACTACTTTCAAGTCACATGGTGTAAAGCATTCTAGTTCAGTTATTATGATATCAGAATATTTCTGATCGTGTTAGTATGAATATTTCAATAATAATGATAACAATAATTAAATTTTATTGATCTCACATTGGATAAATTTACCTCTGCATACCTTGGAGAGCAGTGGTAGCAGGGGCTGCCATTGTGGGGCGCCCAGGGAGCAATCTGGGGTTAAGGTTCTTGCTCAGAGACCCAGAGTCTGTGGGAGTGGGGCTCAATCTCAGAACCTTAGGATTCCAAGCTCTATGCCCTAACCACTAGGCCACCGCTCCCCATAGGATCTGCTCTAATACATCAACATGCTTGAAAATATTGTGTTACATTTAGGTGAAGAAGAAACAGACTAGAGTGGCCATCCCAATGTCTGCACCTTAATCCTATTTAAAAACTTGTAAAGTTTGATCAGAAATGTTTTATCCTGGGACAGAAAACCTACTTACAGGTGCCTGAAGTGGGTGGACTTCCCACTGCTTAGATGGTAAGTAGTTCTTCAGAATAATAATGTAAAAAAAAGGGATCTCTTCGACAGCAAATTTATTTTTTTAATTTATATAGTATTTGAATGGAAAGTCCCAAACACTGCAACGCACAGCAAAGTATTTCCTTATTCTCACTTTTTTTTTGATTGATCCCCAGACCAAAAACTTTTTCCTTCATGTCTGATATAGAAAGTTATATATTTCATAATGAATTTCTATGTTTTTGAATAAAACCTGTTATTTGGATTTTGAGCTTTCTTCAGTTCTTACATACACAACTATTATTTCGAGCACAACTGCTTGTAAAACATCTTTCAAGAATCATAGTCTGGTAACAATTGTCTCCACAGGGATAGTGTTGATTGAATAAATTGGAATAGTTAAAATGCAGCTCATTGTTATTTCATGAATAAACATAAATAATATCCTCAGGAGGGCATAAAACAGGATAAAATATCTCTCTACGGTAATATTCATTTCAAATATGCATGCAAATCCATTATATGTAAAAACTTCAAAACTGTGCTGCCAAAGCAGGCCTTTTTTTAAGTGGGACTTTCACTGATCAAAGTGCAAAGTGCATAAAGATATTCCACTAGCAGAAAGGTGGGCTAATAACCGGCGGGAAAACAGAGAAGCTCTTCTGAATAAGGAAGGAGAGAAGTTTGCTCGCTTACAGTTTTCCTGGAGAAGCAAAGGTAGCGAGTGACCTTGGATTTGAATAAGCCGTCCTTCCACAGGTCGGCGTCGGAGCCATCTGTTGTTTTTGCAACCTATGTGGAAAAAAAAACAGGAGGGGAAAAAACAAGGAGAGAAAGAGAGAAAAAAAAGCATGAAGGAGGAGGAATAAAGTTAATGTATGTATGCCATGGGCGTGCTGCTTTTGCCTTCTTCCTTTTGCATACTAGCCTTAATTAACGCTTGCCTACACTTGTGCTCCATCTCATTAGTGCTCTGCGTGGGTAAAGTCTTAGCCTCCAAAAAAGGTGGCTAAAAATACCATCCCTTGGGAACAGGCTGATTAAAGATGCCCTGACAAGAATCTGCTCTAATAAGGAAACCAAACTTCTGTGTGCTTCACTGATCGAGCTGGAATAACATTTTGGACTATTTTCTTAAAAAAGCTAGAATTCTTATAGTAAATGAGAAATAGGTAATATGAATATAGTGCTAATGCTCAAAGACTATTTTTTTCTAATTTAAATGGAAAATATGTTTGAAAGGATTAAATATATTTGATTTAATCCATTCTCAGCCTGTAAAACAGAACATTCATCATTGTACACAAGCAAAAGAGTCACTTTAGAGAAACAGATTGCATCATACTGACAATATGTGGGCACCATAAGTCAACCTCAAGGTCTTACACTCCATTGCTATGTAAATGTAGGCATGGCAGGGCAGAATAGTAAAAGAAATAAGCTGCAGACTGCATCACAGAGAGTCTTCAATCCTACGAGCAAACATGCTTGGCTGAAACGTCATGTTCCATTGGCTATCATGTGAGAATCACCTAAATAACTGCCAGAGTTATTTTCTAAAGGGATCCTTTACAAAGAAGAGTCAATCTAATGAGGTTCATTCAAATGAAGAAGTCATAGATCTCTTCACCCACCCACACACATTACCCCCTTGACAATAATGATGTATGACCCCGGCGGCTAGGCAGGGGGAAAACGTGGCGTGGGGAGATTCATCCAAAACCGCTGCTGACTAGATGGGCTCGAGCGTAGAGCGCAAACTGGAGCCCGGAACAGAGATGGATAAAGGGATAAGAGGAAGAGAGTACGGAGACGACGAGCGGGGAGAGGGATTGTTGGGTGTCTTCAACAGCGGTACTATGAAAGGTCCCAGAAGGAGCCCATACATCACCAGCCTCCCTCTTCCTTACAAGACAGCCCGTCTTAGCCACTTTTTCCAGGTCAGTAGCCAGCACATCCTGTCAGCGTAAACAAAGGGCTCGCTTTGTGAAACCCAAAGTCAAGCTGAGGAGTAACGAGGGCACGGTCCTCCAAGGAGGCACCTCAGGCTTCACTCTGCCACAGACGCCGGCAGCAGGGATACGACGCAGCTTGAATGTGAAACACCAACTGCTGAGCCTCGACACAAAAACAAACAAACATGAAAAAAAAAACATGAAAAAAGTCACATTGGCCTCTCTCTAACACCCTTACATTTCCTTCTGTGCAGCTTGATCATTAAACAGACTTCAATGAGAGGAATGTCACTTCTGTGATAAGAGACATCATTGCTGTGATATTGAAATATGTCATATCATTTGATTTAAAATGCAAAGACAGAATCACCTGCCACTTGCAGTGATCTGAGAGCCCACCTGTGAAACATGTCTTGAGGGAATGATTAATATTGCGACTGTATGAAGTATCTCTGGAGACAGACAACACCAGCAAGGTGCTATGAAGCACTAAAAGGCACGGCTGCGAATTCAAAGATAAAGGCTTGAAATCAAAAATCTCTGGAGAGTGAAACCAGGTGGAAAAGAAATGGGACAGGTAGAGCAAATCAAGCACTCCCTTCAAAAAAGAATTTGACAAGACGGAAAATAAAATGCTTCACATCCCATCTTTGAACTGAAAATAGGAACAGGACTACTGATGATGTGCAATCTTTTAATCTCTCAAAGTTCAGCTGTTTTGTATGTACTCTACAGGATTGTGTGGCTAATACTCTTTAGGTGTATTCGATGCATACAATAGAGTTAAATAAGCAGGGAAGATTATATTATTAAGAAAATGAAACTTTACAGTTTTAGGAGAACTCAAATAAAATCTCTTCATAATCGACTTTTTTTTTTTTATCTGGTTGTACATTTAACAAGTGACAGTTCAATTTATTTCCTAAGACTGCTTCTTCTTTTCTTATCCCAATGTGCGACAGAGGTATAATTGCATGTATATTTGTTCTGAAAATGTTCTGTATATCTGCTTCAGTGCAGCACTGACCTGAGTGGTCTAAACTTTTAGACATGCAGCACAACTATATGGCAGACAGAGCTGCACAAAATATTGCATTGCAGTCTTCTTCGCACTATCAGTGTATGTGATACTGGAATCACAAAGGAATGCTTGGATATGCTAGTTTTTTAGGATGATGTTTGTTTAACGACACGTATAATAAATGTCTAATATAGTTTTGGAGAAAAGGGCAGACTGATTCTCTTTGAAACCCACAGTTGATATGCACTTTTAACCCCTTAAGCAACGAGGGTCTTAGGTGCAAATTCTGCCTGAAATGAAGTATGTGAATTATCGCAAGTACAGCTCCCAAACTTTAAATTGGAAAAACAATTGTTCGTATAAAAAAAAGGCATTGAGGAGTATCTTTAAGGTGGAACCAGTATTTTAAATGTCATCATGTCTGATTTATAGGTGGTCAAACAGAGAAAAAATTCAAACAAATTTAGCCCTGCCAAATTTTTTTTTCCAAAATAACCACTGCAAAACACCATTTGAAACTCTGGTTAAACCCTCAGACTTTATAGATCCTCATCTTGACTAAAGTTGAAGCATGTTGGTTCCACAAAGGATTTAGTGGGCAGTAGGCTAAGCGGTAATATGATTTTGGCACAGTGCCAAAATTGGCCAAATTATGTAAAAAGGCATTTTTCCACTAATAAAAAGGAATCTGGCCAGAAAAATATTCTGATTTACATAATTGGAGACCTTCTGCATAAGGCAAAGCCTTTGCTCCTAAGATTTATCCATTGTTTGATGGGACTTTACCATTTAACACACAGTAATATTAACCAAAGTGAGTAGAAAATAAGAATAACAGAGCAATATTATGTAATGCATGCCGGTGACTTCACCTAAAAAAGTCGCACAATTACCTCCTACTCCTTCTTTAGAAAGTTCTGAGCCTCTAGTTTCCATTGATGCTGGCCATTAGGGGGTGTGGCTAAAAATTAATAGCTGCTGTTGCATTACTCCCGCAGAGTCAATCTTTTCAGGTGGAATTTAAATCCCATTTTATTTGTTTACACCGATATAAATCAAAAAGTATATGTGAAAAAATAATTTTGTAACATTTTGTATAAATGTTAAAGCCCCATTTGAAAGGCGTGTGGATGAAACACCATGTGAATGTGTTTTGTCCATTTCTATAAAATAATAAACATCAGCTGGTGTCAGCTGGGCCCGGTACCAGGCCCGCTGGGCTTAACGGGTTAATAGCTTAGAGGCTGGTAGTAGTACTAGGACTATCGTGATTAATTAATGATTAAAAAGTTTAATTGTAATCAATAGTGCTATTGCAATATTTAGTGATAGTTTTAAAAATGCTTGTTTTTTCAGGATTATGCTAGGCGCATATTGTAAGCTAGCAGATGAAGCAACGCTGCAATAAAAGAGAATGAGGACACTAAAGAGCTTGAAGACCTACACAACCACCATCAGCCTGGTATTTTAGGAGCATTTATAATGCCCAGCATAAATGATTGTATTAAGGGATCTCCATTTCTTTTCTGGCCTAATGACTCTGGCTTTGATGATCTTTTCATAAGTCTCCATGTCATGTGACCTGCTCTATGAGCTGTGCAGTGTGTCAACTCCTCACTATGAATTTGTGTTGCTGTCCTAAAGTTGCAGAGGTCGCTGAATGATGCCATGCTCTAATTAGCATAATTGGTCATGTGTGCACAATTGTTCTGCTCATTGTAGGAGAGAGAGGTAAAGAGAGAAGGATAAAAAGAAGTATAAAAAGAAGTATGAAACTTATATAAATTATATATTACATATTATATGACATTACATAATTATATTATATAAATATTACCCTTTTTTGTTTTCATTTTTTTTTATTATAATTTCTTTAGCTTTAGTCTCATTTGGAGGTTTTAATATGCTTTATAAATAGATAAATTAATAATTTCTGAACTTTAGATGAAGAAATTATTTGTTGTAAAAACAGTGCATGGTTTCAGACTTAGACTTAGACTTAACTTTATTTTTATATCACACTCATATCACACTAAAAGTTTCTTATTACACAAGAAGAAAAAAAGCTACATTTTTAAGAAAGACTCACATGAGTAGACCCTGGTAACACTGGTGATTCAGCTGGATCTTTAAAGGAAAACTGAAAATCTAGTCAGCAAATTTGAAACACACAAAAAGAAAATCCTAAGTTTGCCTGGGATAACAGTTTTTATATAAGCTCTGTTCATTAAAAACCAGAACTGTAATGTGATTCATAATGAGGCTATGTAATCGGTCACGATAAAACAGTTTAAATATTCTAGCATTAGCACAGAAGCTCAGTAAATCACTTCAGTTATAAATCAGTTATATATATACAGAAGAGTTATATGTGTATATATTTATATCTTTATTATCTTGTATGGTTTGTTGTGTTTATATATATATAAAACTGTATCTGGAGCATGTAACAAAAGTAATTTCCCTCTGGGATTATTAAAGTATTTCCGATTCTGATTCTCCACATAAAAACATCTGCCCTGGGTGAGGTCATAGAAAAACTAATTCTATACATGTCAACAAAATATCTGTAACTGAAGATTGGGAAAGGATTAAGGTGGGATGAAATATGGCTTAGATTTTATGGAACTATCAGTTCTGGTGTCAAAAATCCTTATTGATGGCATCAAGAAACTTTGAGCCACTTAAATTAAGCATAATTGATGAAAAAGAGAACAGAACCTATAAGAATCAGTAATTTTGTGTGTTCAAAAGCTTAAAACATAGATTTAGAAACACAAAGAGGTCAGACTTGATTCAATATTATGTAAGATAAA